CATGCTGACGCGTCAGCCTTGTTCCGCGCCTTTTTTGCACGTACCTTCAACCTTCCTTACAGCCTCTTAGAGGAAGCGTGTACTGTATGTATACCATATATAGTGGCTAAAGTGCACCCAAACCCAACGCCGAAGCTTGTGAACGCAGCACCGTTGACATCGGCAAGCCTGAACCTGGCTCAAGCATAACGCTTCGTGAGTTAGTCAAATCCAGCTTTGTCTCCCTGCGATCCCATATCCATGGGTTCCACAGTTGCCTTCCGCGTGTCGCTGCTCCTCTTGTGCCTGGCCGTCGGCGACGCGGTTCGCCAAGCAAGCATGCACCAAGGTGACGTAGTGGGTGCTGTCCAGGAGTATGAGAAGCAAGAGCACGAGCGCGTGGAGCATGAGCATGTGCAGGTCCACTTCTGATTGCAAGAGAATCGGGCCATATTGCTTCTGTTCTAGCCTGAAGTGTCACTGCTAGGGCCAGAGTGCTGACCCAGCAGCTTGCTTCTCCGAGTGAAAAATGTCAGGACCACCGCAGGTGACAAGCTTTGCACTCAGGGTCGAAAAATGAAGGTCTCGTTTCTCCTGGTCGTTGCTGCATGGCTCCAGTCTCTGCCGTGATCTAGGTAGACTCAGCTGCCGACCGTCCAATTCATGAGCCCATAGGTTAGATGCAGAGCCCTGTTACATCACTCGCCTTCAACATGGCAGTGCCAAGAAGTTCAAGGCTTAAGCTCCAGCCGACACCCTGGCACCTTGCCTGTCCCGACAGGAGCGCGCCCCATGAAGCAACATAAAGCCATACATGACCCTAAAACTCTCGACCCTCAGCCTTCCCAAACTCCTAAGCCCTTTCTTCCCACATCTTAACCTTAGTGCTGTTGGTTCGTTTCCAGAACCACTTGACCTTGCCATGCCCGAGCTCAGCTGCCGGCACCGTGTAGACAGGTTGCACAGACGCGTTGCCGGGATGACGAGGGCGGTGGCTGTGATGTGGGGTTGAGGGTTTTGACTCGGGTTCCGGCGGGGATTGCGGTGTGAGGGTGTGCTCACAAGGGCAGGTGTTTGGGTTAGACTTCTTCTCTTTCAGGTGCTGTGAAGTGGAATTCTGCTTGTTCGAGTTGAGGCTGCTGCCTGTAAGACAGCACCCGCGCGGGTGCACTTGTTCTTTCGTCTCACTGTCCGACTGTCCGATGCAGAGTTGAGATGCTGTCTTGTTTGTCCTAGTGTCGTGTGCGATGCGCAACCCTGTGCCGCCCCGCAGCCGTTTCACTCCTTTGCACATCGTAGTGAGTGTTGGTCAGTCAACTCGGAAAATGGGTCAGAAAGTTTGAGGTTGACTGCTATAATTTTGATTGGACTCGGCTCCGACTGGTTCGTTTTTTTTTGCATTCTGCTCAGAGGCAGTTCTCGTGCGCAGGTCGCCCACCAATTTTAGGGCTTCCTGATCCATGGAACACATTGGATCGGCGAGAACCAGCGAAGTTCTGCGGCGTGTGATGGTGATTGCTGGAAGGCCCAATCACCAAGCTAGGGCTCGTCATGATGCTGATGCCATTGCAGTACTGTTGTGTTGGTGGTCGTGTTCAGTGGTCGTCGTTCTGGTGCTTGTGTAGGTTACACGAGTTGCTATTGTTCTTCTTGCTAGTCTTCTTCTGCCTGTTCTCTGGTTCGTGGTCTTGTTCTGGTTCCTGAGCTTCTTCCTGTTGGTCGCATCATCATCATCATCATCACCATCATCATATCATCATCATCTGTTTTCTTGAAGCTGCTGGTGTTGGTGTTGGTGGTAATGGGTGCAACGGGGTGTTGCTGCTGCTGTGCGTGGTGGTGGTGATGTTGGCGACAATGATCAGTTAACGTAAGTTAATGATGTCGGCCGTGATGATAACTGCAGCCCTTACCGATCCCTTCCCCGCCCCGCAATGCCACGCCACTACCACTGCCACTGCCACTGCTGCTGCTACTACTACTTCTTCTACTACTACTACTACTACCACTGCTACTACTACTGCTCCGACTACTACGACGACTACTACTACCACTACTACTACTACTACTACTACTACTACTACTACTTCTCCTGCTGCTAGCACTGCACAAATACTGCTGCTACTAGTACTACAGCTACTACTACTACTACTACTACTACGACGA